TCAAGGTGATGAACTAAGGACGAGGGAGGATTAATAACTCAGGGTGAACCAATGCCCAAAACAATGAACAAAACACCTCTAACTTCAGGATGACAACTGACCTACAAACTTAAAGGAAATAAATGACAACCAAACTTACCTCCCTGACTATCCAAAACAGGAGAAAACAGGAATGCAAAGAAAAAAAGGCGGTTCACCCCTACAGAATCCTCGAACGGCAGGTACTAGTCACAAGGGCATCACACAAACACAGAGCATCAAAATGGTGGCTGATTGGAATGAGTGGAGGATGAAGAACACAGCTGCATCTCATCAGGCTCCTTTTAACAGCTTTGTCCCAGCTGATCTTCCAGTCAAAACGTCCCCTGGCCATCATCCACCAATCCTAGAAGGGCACCTGCACACTGAAAACAACACTAGAAATGCAAAGAGTATAAAAATAAAAGAAATAACATTCCTTATGACCGGGGTCATAACACTTACGTGCCACAGACAGGAACTGTTCTTTACAAGCATCCGCAAAATGACGCTCCTCGTTTTTAATATGGTCAGCGCAAAAGACTTCAGTTCCCATGCGTCACTGATGTAATGTGCCATTACTCCTAGGTAATTGTTGTTACTCACGGATGTCCAGTGGTCTCCTGTCAGGGTGATATGATTTACTTGAGCCAAGACCTCTTTCCTTTTTTCTTTTTCGTTTTCATAGAGCTCATGGATTTTCGTCATAACTGTGGCTCATGACGGTGGCTTATAGGATGAGTCTTGAGACGCGACTTGCAAAACGTCCATGAAGCCCGGGTCTTCCACAATGCTAATGGGTCTACAATCATTTGCAATCCATTTTGCTATTGTGTTGGTCAACTTATCTGAGGTTGATTTTGTTAATGACCTTGGACAATCCAGCGTAGTCTGGCACGAACCACTTGCAGCACCTGAGGGTCCACCAGCAAACGCATGTTTGGCGTTGACATGGTACCTCAAGCTTGAACAGCTCTGGTGAAATTGAAACTCCTTTTTACAAATCTGGCAAAAAACCTTGCACTTGTTAACTGCACCATCATTATTCTTTTTATATCTGAATCCATCCATAGGCCCACCTTGCTCCATCTCGCCTTTACTCCCCAAACACTTTCCTAACAAATGATTCGTCACACTGCGCATGCGTTGAATGCGGTAAAATAATTGACGTTGTTAACGCAAACCCTCTCTGTAGACAGACAGACTTAGGTCAATAGATTTGGATGTTTTCCTGAATATTATTCATATACACACCAATAGTAAAACTATAGATTGAAAGGCTATGAACCAAAGACAATATAAGCCAGAGGCGAAGGTTAATGCATTTGACAAGAGATTTCATGAATGATCATCAGGCTGTTGTAAAATAAATTTTCCATTCCACTCATAATTCTCCTCTTCTGTCTCATGACTAGCAGCAGTTGGATGTTTATTACTACAAAGTTGTTTGCAACATCACGCCCACTTTCAAATGAAGCACACTCCTGTTTTTCTTGTGTTTGCTCACGATCTATATTCCGTTTGGATGCCATCTCTCCACCTCCGTCTACCTGTCTGTCGGAGCATTTATCCACTGGCTGCTGCTGTCATTCATTGCAGAAATGCGCACGGTGTCAGATAACTCGTCCTTTTTCTTTATCCTCTCCTCTGCCTGAGCTGATGCTGATGGTGCTGTACAAGCGGCACACCTCATGGCAGTGCTGCACCTTTAGCGTAATGCGGACCATCATGGAGCACGTGCCAGACTGTGGATGACTGGTGTTTGAGGACAAGCAGATAATTTTTTTAAACCTCTGAGATTCTGACTAATGAATACCCTGAAAAATTTACCGGTATGCACTGTGCCCTAGACCAAAGTGCGGGTATGCTGAAAGGTCAAAATTAGTAATGGCAGTGGTACTGGTACCGGCCCAAAGCACTGCTCTCTATCCCCAAAGGATATGAGTCTGATAATCGGATCATCAGCACCGCATCATCATGATCAGTTCCTGACAGCCACCGTTTCTCCCTCCCCAACCCTCCCTGCGCACCCAGCCGCTGCACGATAATTCAACCGACCCAAAATCTCCACCTTAAACCAGACTGAACATGCATCTGTTGCCAGAGCTTTTTTTTTTCAGCTTCTTTTTTTCTGCTCCACTTTTCCTGGCCCATCTCAATCCATTTAGCCTCAGGGGCTAAAGGTTCAGTGGTGTGGTAGTGCGCTCTGGGGAGGGGGGTCTTTGCAGCGCTTTGTCAGAGGAAATAAAATAAAATTTTATTTAATTTTATTTAAATAAAATTATGATGAACAGAGAGCGACAGTGCTGGTTCTACTGGATCTAAGTGCTGCTTTTGATACTGTAGACCACACTATTCTTTTAACATGTCTAAAAGAAATTGGCCACTCTGGTACTGTTCACAGATGTTTCTCATCTTATTTCTCAGACAGGACTTTTATGGTAAGTTTAGATACCTGTTCCTTTAGGGTTCATAGGATTACATGTGGTGTGCCTCAGGGTTCAGTTTTAAAGCCCAGTGCTTTTTAACCTTTATATGCTCCCTCTTTGTGGTGTCATCAGGAGACATGAAGTCAACTTTCACAGTTATGCTAATGATTCGCAGTTGTGCATCTCCGTGTCTCCTGATGACACACGGCCAATGGATGCACTTTTTAACTGCAATTTAGACATCAAATCCTGGATGGCAGAAAACTCTCCAGCTCAACCAGGTTCTGAGGCTGAGAGAGAGAAAATTTTGGATGTTTCGCGACCGTTTACTAACGCTTTGACTTGCAGTGAAAAGAAAGGTTTGCTATTTACCTTCTACACCTCGGATTTCACCTACAACACCAGCAGCGCTGTCACATCCAGAAGTTCTCAGATGACTTGGCTGTGTGTCAGTGGGGAATGACCTGAAGTACAGGTCAGTCATCATAGACTTTATTGACTGGTGTTTGCTGGAACACCAGTAAGACGAAGGAGACGGTGATTGACTTCCAGAGAAACACTACTCCTCAGTCACCAGTAAACATCCAGGATTCAGACATTTAGGTGGTGAATACCTTTAAGTACCGGGCTGTTCACCTGAGCAGTAAACTAAACTGGTCCAACAACACAGATGCTCTGTATAAGAAGGGCCAAAGCCGCCTCCACGTCCTGAGGAGGCTGAGGTTCTTCAAAGTTAATTCCCAGCTGCCAACTACATTCAGTAGAGGAGATGTGTGAAAGGAAGATGATGGTAAAGATGACCTCCATCTTAAAAAACATCTCACCCACTGCATTCCACTGTGGAGGCCTTGGACAGCTCCTTCAGTGGCAGACTGAGACATCCCAGATGTAAAACAGAACGCTACCATAGGTCGTTCATCCCCTCTGCAGTAAACGTGTATAATGGCTCTGTTACACAATGACATCAATGCAATATTCAGAATGTGTTCAGTACTTGTGCACTGATGTACATTAGTATGTCAGTGTCCTTTATGATGCATATTTCTGGAAACCCAAGTTTTTATTTTATTCGTTGATTTTAGTGGTTGAAGGTTACAATAATAGCTTATTTTTCTGCTTATTTTTCTCTAAGTGTATGTTCTGTTGTAAGGAGTGATTTTCCCCACTGTGGGAATAATAGCCTATTCTATTCTATTCTATTCTATTCTATTCAAGCGGCTCTGACTGTGCTGCGGTTAGAGAAAAGGCTTTGAACATCTTTGTTAAATATAATCTGTGTTTGTTATCCAATTCCATTATTTGGTTCTTTTCTGAACACAGATATGTTTTTCAGAAATCTCAGAGATTTGGACTAATAAATACCAGGACATTTTACAGGTAAGCATTGTACCCTAGAAAAAAAGTCCCAGTATGATGAAAGGTCAAAATTAGAAGTGGTGTCAGGTGATGATGATCAGATTATCAAATCCTGGCAGCCATTGTTTCTTCTTACTTACTCAAACCCACCCTGCATACTCATCATTGTGCAATGTGCACTTCGTGTTAACTCAATTGGCCCTAAAACACCACCTTAAACTGGTTCTTCCAAAATGGTCACTTATGGTGCTTTCTCATCTGGGCCAGCATGGACCAGACTGGGTAGCTTTTAAAGTGTTCATATCTAGGTAGTCTTGTAATTTTCTGCACTAAACCAGTCGGTTTTTCGGCCCACATACCAAGGAGGTCTGCTTTGGGCTGAACAGGTCCAACACACCCATTACCAACTGATTGGCCGGTTCAAAAACACACCTACTGTTAGTGGGAGCCTTCGTTTGGCGGATTGAACCAAGCGGCGGGACCTTCTTGCTTGCACAATTCATTATCATGGATACTGTTTAGTCAATGTCACCTCTGACTGAAGCGGCATTGCTCCTCACTGCTGTGAGGAGCACACACACACACACACACACACACACACACACACACACACACACACACACACACATAGAGATTTAAGCTGCACAGCCATTGTTTAAGGGAGTCATCGCTGACTTTCTCTGTACTTTATTTGGCCCAGCCCACTAGCTAGGAGATTTCCCTGTTCATGAGAAGTGTGTGTGAACAAAACCTACTGGTGCAGGACCCGGACAAATGCCACATGGTCCGATCCGTGCTTGCCCAGATGTGAAAGTGCCATTACAGGCCCGATTAGTCACATGACAGATTGTTCATTTAGACATGAAGCATGTCATGACTGACGGCAATCACTGAGTGGACCAGGGTAATGGCAGGCCATTTCCCATTTCTCTCAATTACCAGTCTGGTTAAGTAACTACTGTTGCTGTATTCCCACCTCTAACCTCAACTAAAAGTTAATTCACACTAGGGCCCGACTGATATATCGGCCGGCCGATATTATCGGCCTATATAGTTGTCATTAACACTATCGGCTATCGGCCAAAAAGACGGCCGATATGGCCGATATTGCGCTACCTATCCAGCAGATGGCGCCAGCTTTACGAACTCAAGTTGTGTGGCTCCACTCCTGGGGGGGGGGGGGGGGGGGGGCACCGTCACAGCACACATGCAGCGGAGCAGCAGAAGCAATTCAGTCAAGCAGAGACGACGGTGATGAGGAAGTAGGAGGTAAGTCTTCAGTTTTAAGCATATTTGTTTTGTCAGTGGTAAGTTGAACGGTAAAATAAGCAATGACAAAAGTATGTTTCCCCTCAACATGCTTCCTAAGTTCATTGTGTGCCTCGTGGCCTCGTATTGAAAAGTTAACCTGAAAAAAATAAATAAAACTGCCGCAGCATTATGCTCTATGCAGAGCTCACGCTGCTTCCCCTTTTTCTGCTGGCCTTTTTCTGGTAGACATTCTGGAATATTCTCAGACAATTTCCTCCGCTCTTCAGCTGTCTTTTCAAACTCATGCCATTCACCCGCAGCTCGTGAAAAAAATAGTGCAGAAGCCGAAACAATCGCTGCACGGCGCGGGCTGGAGCGCTGAAGCACTGCAGAATAGGATAACAAGGGCGACAAATGAAGGTGGTCCCCGTTTCGCGGCGCTTCGGCAGCACACGACCGTTGTCGCAGCTGAGGACGGGCGAGGGGGGGTTGGCAACAAAGCAATGAAACGCTGTGCAGGGAGTCCCCCCTCCTCTCCCTACCTGGGAGAGGAGTAGGGGCGGTAATACGAGAAAAGAAACATCCCTCTCTACAATAGAATAAATCTATTGTATTTTTCAGCCTTATATTTTACATAAGGCTTATACATTGCCACATACTAGTCATTTAACGTATCTTATTTTTATTTTCCTAATACTGTCAATTTTGGAAAGGACCAAAACACAAAAGTGTAAAACTCAAAAGTATTTTAATGCTAAAAATCAGGTGACAGAAATAAAATCAGGTAGCTAGGACGCTGAAACCAGCAGAGTGTGACTGAAACTGAACCGTATGCACTGAGGAGTGAGAGATGACAGAGGACTAGTTAGGAGGAGCTGTGAGTGGGAGCGGAGTACAGCAGGGGAACATAGGAGGAACTATAAATGAAAATATTTTTAAAGAAGAAAGAATCCTAAAAGGGAAAGAAGAATAACTAGAAAAAAACCTGACAACAAACGGAGTAGAAAATTCAGTGGAAGGAAAAAAAAAGACTTGAATACTAAATGAGAAAACCTTAACAGCTGGGGAACCAAACAAAAACAGAGCCATTGGTTTTGAGCCACAATGCCTGATATCATTTATTTACATGATAATTTTTAAACTTTTAAGTATAAAAATGCCACATTTGATGTATTTTACTTTGTCTTGGTATCAACAGATATATAACTGTCCTTTTATGCTGATTATTTTATTACAGATGGAAAAAGAGGATCGTAGTAAGGTGTGGGCCTACTTCACTAAAGATCCATCCGGTGATGTCATCTGCAGCATCTGCTCATCTTCAGTAGTACTTTGTGTGTTCTGTTGTTTTTGAGATTGCAAAATAAATCTTATTTGCATTACTTGGAAACCCTAGTGAGTTTTTGAGACAGTTCTTTGGTGTGTAATATAGAAATAAGTTAGCATCAAAAAGGCAGAGAATGAAGGGTTTAATCTTAAGAAAATTTGTATTTATTTTTTTGTGAGGGAGATTTATCGGCCATTATATCGGCTATCGGCCTTTGTTAAAAGTTTTATATCGGTATCGGTCCCAAAAAAAGCATATCGGTCGGGCCATAATTCACACCATACCTCTAAAACCAAATTAGGTTTTTATTTACTGTGATAACCTAGCAAATGTCCTCACAATTTTAATATGTCCCTATGTTAGAGGAGAAAAATGTGTCCTCACAGTGGATGTGAGACACACACACACACACACACACACACACACACACAGACACACACACACACACACACACACACACACACACACACACACACACACACACACACACACACACACACACACACACACATACACACACACTATCACCAGGCTATAAGGGCAAACTTTCTAGTCAGTATGCAGCTCATTGAATTTTCATGTCCTGGTCCAGTGTGCAGGGAAAAAAGGTCTTTTTATAATAGATGTTATTATGCGTCTTTTACTTGGCCGTTTGTCAGGGCTCCTGTTATATGTTTGAAAACACAGTTACAGCTGTCGGTAATTCACATCATGCGTTTCATTGTTTCCTACAGCTTTTCAACAGGTGGTGCTGGTTAAAGAAGAAGCTCTAGAAGAACATAGCACTGGTGTCAACCAGGAGGACTTAGATTTTCTCCACATAAAGGAGGAAAAGGAGAAACTCTGGCCCAGTATGGAAGGGGCGCATCTCCATTTGAAGGAGGAGACTGATGCTGCCAGGTTTCCATTCACTGTTGCTTCGATAAAGAGTGAGGATGATGAAGAGAAGCCTCTGTTCTCACAGCTTCATCAGAAGCAAATAGAAGACAGAGATGCTTCAACCAGCAGCTTAGCTGACCAGACGACAGCAGAAACTGGTGGAGTAGAAACTAGCCGGAACCCAGATCTGAACCTTCATGAACTGACTCCTGATTCTTCAGAGACTGACGTTGGAGATGATGATGATGATGATGATGCAACTCTAGACTCTGGGTCTGAAACTGGAGACCGAGACAATCACTGGAATGAGAACAGGTGTTCTGAGTCAGATTTTAGGACTGTCAACAAATCTTTTAGTCATAGGACACTTTTAAACAGTCACATGAGAGTCCACACAGGACAGAAGCCTGTTGCCTGTGAGTTCTGTAGCAAAAGATATAGCCAAAAGACACATTTAAACACACACATGCAAGTCCACACAGGAGAGACGCCCTTTGCTTGTGAGCTCTGTGGGAATAGACTTAGTAAAAAGACAAATTTAAACACAAACATGAGAGTCCATACAGGACAGAAGCCCTTTGCTTGTGAGCTCTGTGGGAATAGATTTAGTGAAAAGACAAATTTAAACCAACACATGAGAGTCCACACAGGAGAAAAGCCTTTTGCTTGTGAGCTTTGTGGACAAAGATTTAGCCGGAAAACACATTTAAACAGTCACATGAGAGTCCACACAGGAGAGAAGCCTTTTTCCTGTGAGCTCTGCGGACAAAGATTTAGCCGAAAGACACATTTAAACAGTCACATGAGTGTCCATACAGGACAGAAGAATTTTGCTTGTGAGCTCTGTGGAAAGAAATTTAGCTTAAAGTCAACTTTAAACAGACACATGAGAGTCCACACAGGACAGAAGCCTTTCGCCTGTGAGCTCTGTGGAAAAAGATTTAGCCATCAAACAACTTTAAACAGACACATGAGAGTCCACACAGGACAGAAGCCTTTTGCCTGTAAGCTCTGTGTAAAAAGATTTAGCCGAAAGACAACTTTAAACATTCACATGAGAGTCCACACAGGACAGAAGCCCTTTCCTTGTGAGCTTTGTGGAAAAAGATTTAGCCATCAAACAACTTTAAACAGACACATGAGAGTCCACAGAGGACAGAAGCCCTTTCCTTGTGAGCTCTGTGGGGATAGATTTAGCCATCAGAAAACTTTAAATAGTCACATGAGAGTCCACACAGGACAGAAGCCCTTTCCTTGTGAGCTCTGTGGAACGAGATTTAGCCAAAAGACACATTTAAACAGTCACATGAAAGTCCACACAGGACAGAAGCCTTTCGCCTGTGAGTTCTGTTGCAAAAGATTTAGCGAAAAGACAAATTTAAACCGTCACATGAGAGTCCACACAGGACAGAAGCCTTTCGCCTGTGAGCTCTGTGTAAAAAGATTTAGCCAAAAGACACATTTAAACAGTCATATGAGAGTCCACACAGGACAGTAGTCTTTCGCCTGTGAGCTCTGTGTAAAAAGATTTAGCGAAAAGACAACTTCAAACAGACACATGAGAGTCCACACTGGCTTTCCGCCTGTGAGTTCGCTGGAAAAGATTTATCCAAAAGATCAATTTAAACGGTCACAAAAGAGTCCATAAAGGATGGGTGCATTTTGCTTGTGAGCTCTTTGGACGAAGATTTAGCTAAAAGAAAACTTTAAAGTATCATCTAAGCATCCACTAGGGCTGAACGATCTATTGCAGGGGTCTCCAACATTTTTTGGTCCGTGAGCTACTTTTACACAATGAAAGTACAGCAGAGTCACTGCCATATGATTTATTTACATTGATACTTTCCATGTGTGAATGTGCTTATGTTAAACATGCTATACTTACTATATTAACATGCATTGTACTCACAAGTTGATTTCTCTGTATTTCAGTAAATCAGTATATATATATTTTTAAAGTATAAGTAAACTAGTGACATTCTGAAAACCAAATTGAACAAAACATATTTAGTTTTTTAAACTAATCAGATACTTTCAGATAATGAATAACAAATCTACTTCATGTGAATGATTTGGTAATTTTTTTAGAAGGTTAGTAACATAAATTTTTAAGCACACAGGAACAGCTAACCTGTAAAGCTGATATTTTATATAAAATACAAACAAAATGTGATGAAGACACAAAAGTCTAAATAGTTTGAATTGAAGTGAAAAGTGTACAATCAGAAATAAGACTTGTTCCTGCTCTCCTGATTTACTGAATAATTTTTATGGATTTTTTTGGTCATGAAAGTTAAGTTTTGCTGTGTTTATTGCTGACGATATGAAGGTTGGAGGTTTATCCTTTTTTTCTGCATCTTGTAGGTTTTTTTCTCCGCAGGTCTGAAGGCTGTGTGTTACACAGAGCAGAGAGACAGGGAGCAAGAGACCAGAACCAAAAGAAATGATCACATCACACCACTCTTAAAATATTTACATTGGCTTTCAGTAACTTACAGGATTGATTTCAAAGACCTTTTACTGACTTAAATCATTAAATGGCCAACGACCTCTGTATATAGCAGAGATGTTTGAAACGCATCACCCTTCAAAAGCACTTAGGTCAGCAGATAAATCCCAACTGGTACAACCCAGAGCCCGCACCAAGCACGGAGAGGCTGCCTTTAGCTGCTATGCAGTCCGTCTCTGGAACGGTCTTCCAATAGACATGAAGACCTCTCCCACCATTTCCATTTTTAAATCCAGATTAAAAACTAATCTCTTTCATGATTCCTTCCATCAACCTATCCTTGCATCTGTGCTCTACTAGGTCTTTTTCTGTGCTGTGTTAAATATATTCTATATGTATTTTATATGTATACCTATTCTGTGCTGTTTTATTGTGTATTGTGTAATTAAAGTGAATACTTGTAATAAAGTGTAGTTATTGTGTAAAGCAGTATATACTAGGAATGATTAATAAAAATAAAAACTAGAATTGAACCTGAGTTACATGGTAATAACAACTGAAGAACTCAGAAACAACAATACACTAACTTACTAAGTAATTACCATATAAGTACTAAGTAATTAGAGGACTGTAAAAGAAAGTGCTACCAATAATTTTACTTAATATGCTTTTATTTTTGTGCACTATGTTCTGTGTCAATATACTTTGATTTTATTTTACACAACATGATGTGACATTTTAACTATTTCATTTCACTTGTCATGGTTTTAACTATGTGAAGCACATTGGGCTACCATTTTGTGTATGAAATGGGCTATATAATAAACTTGTCTTGAGAGCAGGTGTGGCACCAGGCAGTAGCTTGGTGTTACTATAGCAACCACAAGATTTGACCAAGCAACTGCTTAGCAACCCTGATTATGTTGTAACAAAGATTGTATAAAGTTTTTATATTAAATAATTTAAAGTATATATATTTAATCTAACATAAAAAGTGGTAGTTTTACTTATAGTTTTGGAGAACAAATTTCTTGGAAGAACAAAAAAAAGACGTGCCTCACTGGTGCTATCGCGAGACTTCGATTTGACCCCATGCTTTTAGAAGCACTGAGAGCACATAGCTATTACAAAGCAGCCCGATGCAAACATGGACAAATATCTTATTCCACCCAAACGACCGCGATTATCAACGGAGACGGATGATGCAGCTACTTCTACCATTGAAAAGGACCACGCCACGGATTGTAACAGCAGCGAGGATCCACGGGTCGAGGATGAATGAGATGAGCACAGAGGAGAACAGGTGCCCGCGCTGTGTGAAGAGACGCGCCCTGACCCGCTTCTATCTGTCCCAGGCAAAGAAACAAACAACGACTCAACTTTATCAGATATCAGCCAAACCCCTCATGAAGGACCATGTCGCCCAATACTGGTAAAATACCGGGCTAAAAAGTGCGGCATACAAATGCGGTCCTTTAACCGCCGATGGTGCGAGCAGTATAGTTGGCTGAAGTACTCGGTCACCAAGGACAATGTGTTTTGCTTTGCATGCAGACATTTTGCTCACCCAGGCCGGCAGTTTCGGAAAGAGACCGTGTTTACCCAGGATGGGTTCAGCACATGGGTTAAAGCTACACAGTCATTCATAGGCGTCATTTTAACCGGGGACGCCGGGGACATGTCCCCAGCAAAGTTTGTGATTGGCAGCTGTGTCCCCCCCACTTTAAAAAAAGCCTGCTGATGAGGATTTTTGTTTTACCAGCTCAGATCTTATACCAGGGGTCGGCAACCTGTTCCCATCAAAGAGCCATTATTACCCATTTCCCACAGTAAAGAAAACACCGCAGCAGCCGCGGCGTTGTGGGCAGGGCCTACCCTCAGACAGCAGAGAGCTGCTTTAACCAGGTGACAGCAGCCGGTACCGGTCGCTCGCATGGGTGTCGCACCCGTGGGGGATTCAACACCCACACTTTTCCTTCTGTTTTGCTCATCTCCACACCAGTCTGGTTTCTTTATGTCGCACTCACTCTGTTTGCCTCATCTCCTTCTTCACCTCCCGCTTCTGACAGCCGATGTCGGGTTTCCAGGAGAGCAGGAGAGGGAGGGACGGAAGAGCTCGACTGAATTCATAATTTTACATCTTGACATTAGCTGTACAAAGTCTGAGTTTGATAAAGTGAAGAACAACAATTTGCAGAGGTTTATAACTGGCGCGGCACCAGGTTTTCATTTTTGGGTGGGCCACGGTAATTTTGGACGGACCTTCATAAGCAGTGACTTAGTGAAGCAGGCAGGTCGCGCTAGAAAATTTAGTTTAAAAAGACGTCATAAATGTGTTCCCCCGTCATTTTAATTTCTAAAATATGAAATAAAAACTCACAATTTAATTTTCATTCATTTGTCATTAATATGTAGTCTACACCCGTGCGTTAAGTGGACCATCTTCCAGTAAAAGCAAAGCATCCAGCCACCTCTCCAAATGCGTAAAATGTGCATCAGCCGCTAGTTAGGCGCGTCGCGCGCACCATCAGCTACGTCAGTCCTTGCCCCTGCCTGTTCCTGTCCCTAATCCAAACCCTCTCTCCTGGTGCTAATGGCAGAGCCTGTGCCCTTTTGTCATAGACCTTCTTGTTTTGGTTGACAGCAGCCGCCATATTTTTCCTTGCTGTTTCATAAGCAAAAGACAATTTTTGGTGGTGGTCTCTAACCCATCCTCCAAGATCATTACAAAGCGATCCCTGTTCCACTCCTAGGTTAACATCCACTGGCTGTCTCAAATGCTGCCCAAACATTAGGTATGATGGAGCGTACCCTGTGGCGCTATGAACTGTGTTGTTGTATGCCTGCAACAGTTCGGGGAGGAGTTCTGGCCACCTCTGCTGTCTCTCTGCCTCAAGTGAACGCAACATATGCAGTAGTGTCTGGTTCAGTCGTTCAACCCCTCCATTTCCAGCAGGATGATATGGTGTGGTTTTACTCTTTGTGATTCCATAACACCTGCATAACTGATACATTAGTGCAGACTCAAAACTAGCCCCTCTATCTGAATGTAGACTGGCAGGACAGCCAAAAGGCTGGATCGCATGAGTCCATAGGGCATGTACTGTCGTCTGTGCGGTCTGATCTTTAGTGGGAACTGCCCAAGCATAGTGTGTGAAAAGATCAGTCATAACCAAAATGTTCTGATATCGGTCTGTGGGCCTCCCTAATGTGAGGTAGTCCAGGGCCACAACCTACAGAGGATACGAGACCACAATAGGCTTTAGTGGGGCTCTAGGCTGATCTCTATTTCGCAGGCTACAGGCAGCACAACCTAGATGGAACCCACGCACCTCATTCTCCATGCCGGGCCAGAAAAAGAAACGACGTATTCTGGACAGCGTCTTCTCCACACCTGCATGTGCAGCCGCCTCATGGTATTTCCTCCACACCTCTTCCCGCTTTCCTACAGGGCAGAGGACTTGGAACAATGTTTCATTGGTGTTGGTGTCCATTACCTCCCTACAGAGCACTTCCCCACGAAGCCGAAGCCTTCTCCACTGGTGCAACCACTTCTGCACAGACTTGGGCAGCGTTCTTCTCACCCCCGCATCAGGGAGTGTCTCCTGAACCACGTACTGCTTCAGTATTTGTAGTTCCCCATCTTGTTCTTGAGCGTCCTTCCAGTCATCCATCTGTGGCAACGGCTCCTGTCGCTCACTTGAGAGGGCGTTATAGGTGGTTGCACGGGCTGCTTGGCAATCTGCTGGAAACCTGGAAAGGGCATCAGCATTAATATTTTCTTTTCCCGCCCTGTACTTGATTTCAAAATCAAAGGAAGCCAGTTGTGCCACCCAGCGTTGTTCTGCTGCCCCCAGTCTGGCAGTATGGATGTGGGCAACTGGATTGTTATCTGTATACGCCACAAACTTTGCCCCTGTCAAATAGTCCTTGAACTTCTCTGTAATTGCCCATTTTAGGGCTAAAAGTTCCAATTTGAACGAGCTGTAGTTGGCGTCATTCCGCTCTGTGGGGTGTAGACTCCTACTGGCATATGCAACCACATGTTCCTTGCCGTCTCGTACCTGGGCTAACACAGCGCCCAAACCTTGGTTACTAGCATCAGTGTAAAGTACAAACGGCTTGGAGAAATCAGCATAGGCCAAAATGGGGGGTCTCACGAGGGCAGCCTTCAAAATTTCGAATGCTTCTTGACATTTGGCGGACCACTGAATCTGCATGTCTGATCTTTTATGGCAAGGACGCCCTATTAGAAGGGCATGCAGAGGTTGAGCCAACTTGGCAAATCCGGGGACAAATCGCCTGTAATAACCTGCTAGGCCTAAAAAGGCTCTGACCTGACGGGTGGTAGATGGAACAGGCCAGTCCTGGACAGCCTGGATTTTCTCGGGATCTGGTCTCACCCCATGTTGATCAACAAGATGCCCGAGGTACTTTACCTGCCGCTGAAGCAGCTTACATTTGTCCAACCTCAGTCTCAGCCCATGTTGCCACAGTTTCTGCAGAACACTCTCCAACTGTTGCAGGTGAGTAGAGAAATCAGGTGAGTAGATGATTATATCATCTAAATAAACCAACACTGATTCTGACAGGTGGCTGTTTAAACACCGCTGCATCAACCGTTGGAACGTGGCGGGGGCGTTACAAAGCCCGAAAGGCATGCGATCGAACTCAAATAAACCCAGAGGGGTGGTAAAAGCAGTTTTCTCACGATCCCGAGGGTCCATTTCTACTTGCCAGTATCCGCTGGCAAGATCCAATGTCGAAAACCACTCTGCTCTGGTCAAACATGTCAGGGTCTCCTCAATTCGTGGCAATGGGAAGGCATCTTTGTGAGTTACTGCATTGAGTTTTCTATAATCAACACAGAACCGCCAGCTACCATCCTTCTTCCTCACCAACACAATCGGGGCTGCCCAGGGACAACTACTCTCCCGAATAACCCCCTTATCCAACATATCAGTGAGTAGTGTCTTAATCTCCTTGTACATCAGTGGTGGTAATGGACGATACTTCTGTTTAATAGGTGGTGTGTCACCTGTGTGGATCTGGTGACGAACCAGATCTGTTTTTCCATAGTCCTCCTCATCCACAGCAAACACTTTCTGCCATCTCTGAAGCAGGGCCTGCAGCTCTGCCTTCTGCTGTGGGGTCAAATCCATACAATTGGTTAATTGGCTCACCTCCTCATCAGGGATTGCAGGTTCCTCTGGTCCAGCTGCCTCCACCACACCCACCTCCACCACGCCATCAGATCCCATCGTCAGACTAAGGTCATTCTCCCTCTGTACATCAGAATCCTCCACCTGGTACAGCTGACCCAGCTTCTGGTAGCGACCTTTAATGACTTCATGCGGGTGGGGGTTACAAAGTCTGATAGGAAGTCTTCCTTCTTTAACTACAGCTAGAGTTCTGGCTATTCCCCAGGGTTTATCCCCAGGTAGAGTGTCCACCAACACCAAACGTTCTGCTCCGCCCCTGCCTCCGCGTGCTCGGCCCCAGACTGTAACTTCACAATTTGGGGGCACCCGAACTCCTCTGCGGCTGGCAGGCCAGACATAAACTTTGTGCGTAATCAAATGTCTCTACAGGTGCTTTCTGAGCTGAAGAGCTATTCTGCCTCAGACTGGATGCGTCATGCGTCTCCATATTAGAGACAGGAACAAGCGCTATTCAGCCAAAGTTTCATAATTTCATAAAAAGAACATTTTTCCAAGTGACACATCCCTCAGAGAGACCGGGTTTCCAGACCGCTTCAGTGGGAGGAAATCTTATCACCTGCACCGTGGTTCTGCACTGCGCTGCGAACCCCTCTACAGATCTTCAGCCCACTGTCCACCGTGGGCGCTCCGAGCCGCACTGAACACAGTGTCCAGTATAAAGCTCTGATGTTCTGATGGGAATAAAGTTACCTCTGCGATGTGCGTAACGATTAAAATGTCAGCTCATCCATGCGCATCAGTGTGCGTCGGGGTAATTCTTTCAAAACAACCAACATCCTTGAGTTTATCCGTCAATATGTGGCAAGGTGGAGAACCGAGGACCCGGGCGGGATTCGATCCCCAGACTCCCGGGGGAGAGTCATACGCTCTAACCTGTCAGCCAAAGGGACATCCCCTTGGCCAAGTAGCCAGGACGCATGATCTATCGGGACACTGTGACAGGACACTCACACTGCCACACCTGATTATGAAACTTTGGCTGAATAGTGCTTGTTCCTGTCTCCAATGTGGCGACGCATCCAGGAACCTGTCTGAGGAGAAGCCCAGAATCTGACATCCTCCAGCCCAGGAAGCGCCTATGATTACGCACAAGCGTGACACGTCAACCCGGTCTCACAGTAAGACCGGGTTGGACCTGTTCAGGTTTACGCAGAATATCTTTACATTTAGAATTGGCATACAGATGTAAAATTAATGCAGTAAAATATAAAGCTTTTTATTTAAATATCCATTCATTATTTTACAAGCACAGAGAGCCGCATCAGATGGATGGAAGAGCCGCATGCAGCTCCAGAGCCGCCGACCCCTGTGCTAGCCTACTTTATTGTCCCCCAACAATTTTTAAACCCCACTCAAGTGTATGGTTATTGTCCCCAGCAATTCTGACAACAAACTGACGCCCTTGCAGTCATTCCACACACACAATGTCAGTGCTGGCCATAAATATGCAATGGATGCGTGGTCTGAATTTAAGCTGAGAAAAGAGAGTGGCTCAGAAATAAGCAATGCACTCAGCGAGGGACATTCCAAAATGGTACGTGAAAACCGGGAATATATGCGTGCAGTTGTGGAAGCTTTACGCTATACTGCATGTCAGACCATTGCACAGAGAGGACACAGGGAATCTGAAACATCTAACTGAGGCAATTTTATTGAACTTTTACATGTCATTGGGAAGTTTGACAAAACAGTTGAATCAAAAATTGCCAATAATCCAAAAAATGCTAAGTACACTCATCATGACATACAAGATGAACTGGTTGACATCATGGCAAATATGGTCAGGGAACAAATAAGCGGGGAAGTACAAGAGGCTGGCGTATTTGCACTGATAGTTGATGAGAGTAAAGATGTGAGTAAGAAGGAGCAGGTGTCTGTGGCTGTGCGGTACTTGCATAATGATGAAATATGGGAAGTTCCTTCACTTTACTCCAGCTGATGGGCTAGATGCCAACTCCCTTCTGACAACCATCAAACAGACTCTGAGCAAATGCAAGATTGATCACAACAGGTGCATCGGCCAGTGTTATGACGGGGCAGCTGTCATGTTGTTGGCGCCAAAAAAGGTCAAGAGGTCATCTACAAAATGTATTGAGTTAAAGCTGAGTTCTTAGGTTGAAAGTGTTTTCTGGCTAGAGTTCGTGTGCTGTTCCAACATCAGCTCCAAAGGAATTTCCTGTTTTGGTCTCTGCTTGCTTCCAGTAAAATTGCTTAAAGCTTATCTGACTTGCTAAATACTTGATGTGATTCCAAAAGTGTTGCTGTGTCCCAGACAGAAGTCTCCACCCACAGTTTCCACAGAAGAGATGTGCTACCAAATATGGTCTGGTTCTCGCCGGTTGACTAATGAATGTTCAAAGGCTGTGAGCTATAAAAAGGGAACCACTCTTTTGTCGGGGTCTTTCCGGCTGTCCTGAGATGTAAGGAGACAAATAAAAGACCACGCTGTTCTCGACTGAAAAACTCTCTCAGACTCTTTTCTTTAAGAATAACAGAAATTGCCCACATATTGGCACCTCAGATGTGTGAACAGCGAGGACTTTCCGTGGCGTCCCTTGGCTCCTGTCCAGTGGCTGAGGTCCGAACTAAGGGCCCAGGTGAGCATGTTTTTGTTCATTTTTGTGGCCTCTGTCACTGGGCAGGGGTGTTCTCCTGTTCTGATAATACTTTAAATATCAGTTGGAGAGAGGATTCATGTCTGACAGTGGTAAAATATTCACACCGTGTGAAGTCAGCTGTGTCATTTTGATGACGGACAAATTTTAAGTGTCAAATTGAAAGGTGGGACAGCAGATTGGAATAGAATCTGAACAGCTGACAAGGTTTTGAGAAATCCAGTCTCCT